TAATAGAAAAGATAACCTACACATATATGCAATATCAGGAAAAAAGAAAACAGATTGGACAGAGTGATCAATTATAAAATTAATGAAGTAGATAACAAAAATTAAGAGACGATTACTCTACAATTTGAAATCATGTCTTTAACAGTGAATTATAAGGATCTATAGGGAAGATTGACAGCTCAAGGCAACATCACACTGGAAGGACCTAGAAGGAAAAGAGAAATGTAGGTGGGAGATAATTCATTAGCTCTGTTACCTCAGGTTAATTCAGTGTAATGAGCTATTTTAATTCATCATTGTTTCCAAGGAAACTACGGTTGACTCATCTCATAGTTTAATATCTTGGAATCACATACGCTATTTTATACCTGACATGAACATAATGGTTCTCACTCTACAATTCATCTATGGCCTTAACTCCCACATAGTACACACCTTGATAGCAGTATCCATTTTCAGTAAAACTCTGAATTTAACCTGCATAATTACCTAATATTTTTGGTCTTTTAGTATTATTTTCAATGATCCAATGTCAAAAATAAAAACATATTCATCAACCAGGTGACGATTATACTTATACTTATTTGCCTTCTCTTCCCATACTGACATAAAATATATCACTAGGAAAAACTAAAATGTAGTTTGAATCATGCGTTATCAGCCCATGCCAGACAGCATGTGTGTAAGAGCAAAGCAAAGTTTGGAGATTTTCAAACTGGACCACATGAAAACAATACCATTTCTTCATCATATTTGCCCCAAATGCACCCAAATTATTAAGTAAAAGCTTTTTGAACATTTAAGACATTAGATATCTGAAATCTTGTAAAAGCTGATATTCATGATGTGAAATAATTCATTTAGCTATTGAAGGTATTTAATGCCTGGCCAGACACTCCTTTACTATGAGCATGGACAGAATGGTCTCTGGCTTCAAGAGATAACCTTCATGGAATCGGAAAGAGAGCTGGAGGGCTTTGCAATGGTAAGGTCCAGGTGATAGAGTCAGGGCACAAAAGGGCACAAACATCATCAGCTATGCCCAAGGAGGGCAACCCACGCAAAATGTCACTGCTTACAGAATTGTGCTTGAAGAAGACATATTTCCATTTGGTACCGATGCATGTCACACCTCTGCCCAGCTCTCTCCACTGAATTAATCTGGCTCTCTATTGCCCATGAGATAGGATCCAAAGTTTGTGGTATGGTTCCACCACACATAACACACTGAACTACTGGCAGTTCCTCAAATATACCATAATTTTGCATAACAACATGACTTTAAATATGCTGCTCCCAGCAACTAGAAACACCTTTCCTCTATGATGACTTCTTCCATATGTCTCACTGTGCAACATAAGCATTGCCTTCTCTGTGAAACTTTCTCCTGATTATAGCAAGTGTTTACTTCCTCTATGCGTCTGTGCATATTCCTGAAACAGCACTTACGTTGCGTTATGATTATGGATTCATTACTCTTACACTAGAGTGTGACCTCCCTGAAGGCAGAGATTATTGCATTCATCTTCTTGGCTCCAGTGATTGGCATAATGCTGTGCCAATAACAAAAATAACTTTTTTATTGAATTGTTAATGATTCCAACAGTTGGAAACAACATCAATAAATTAGTTAAATAAATAACCATGTATCTGGAGACTAAAATATTTTGTAGCTTTCAAATAGAATCAACTAGTTATGAATACTGGCATGCAAAGATCACCAAAATACAGAACGAATGTTTAAACATAATATTAAGTGAAAATAGCAAGTTACATATAGTGTGATCCAATTTTTGTAATATTTTGTTAAGACTGTGTGTATATATACACACACACACACACACACATATATATATATATATAAAGTGTATATTATGTGAATTCTAAAAATATTCTGAAAACCATATATACCAAACTCTTAAAGATGATAATGCCTGAAAGGCAGAATTATGAAACACAGACCTTATGTTTACAACTCTCTGTTAAGTTTTTTTTAATAATGAAAAGGTAATTCATTTTATAAGAAGAAAGTAACAATAAGGATAAATGTATACAAAATTAGGCTTCATCATTAGCTGAAACCTCAGACCCAGTAAAGTGAATGTCCAACTCAACTATTCTTGAATCAGACAATCTTGGAAGCTTGAGTGCCATTTAATAGCATCTCCTTGTAAATGGAAAAAGAACGGTAGTGGTGAAAGCACAGCAAGAGGTCTATAAACGTCCCCGAAAGCATTTTATACATTTTAAGCTGAGCTAGAGAACATTAGGGTGGGGAGCTGAAGCTGTCTTTAAATTCTTGAAGAGCTATTTTATGGCAAGGGTATTTAAATATGTCCCATTTTGGCCTGGGGGTTTTACTAAAGTGAGTATGTGAAACTTACAGTGAGAGAAATTTAGATTTGGTATAAAAGGAGACCTTTTCTATGGTCATAATTCTACAAAGATAGAAGCAATCGGCTGCATGGCTTCCTCATATTCACAATTTCTGAAGTTATTCAGATACAATCTGGGAAAAACACATGTTGGAGAACTTGTGCAGAAACTCACAGTCTGCTTGAAAGGGGAGTTACATACCCTCTAGGCTCCCTTCCAGCACTGAGATTATGCTATTGTGAGACCAGAAGTTTCCAAAAGGGTTTTAAATTATTAGGACATGAAAAGCGTTTCTACTAAAAGTTATTCCTCTTATGAAATTTGGTTCAGATTACACAGCAAAATGAAAAGGAAGTCTGGAGACACAGTTCTGTTCCAAACTTACCAGTAAATTCATTCATTCATAAATTCAAAATTTATTGAGTGTCGGCTATGTGTCAAGAGTGTACATGGGAAAAATAAAGGAAAAAAGGCATAGTCCAAGTAGTTTGTCCTCTGATGAGGCTAAAAAATGTAACTATTACAATAAAAGGTAACTTGTAAATCAATAAAGGTACACACTCTGCTCCATGGTGATCAGAGGAGAGGAAGGACCCTATCAAGGAGTTCTGAGAGGCGCAAGGGTAGAGGTATGCAGAGGCAGGCAAGGGCGAGAAAAACACGTAGATCTGAGGAACTGTAAACAGTTTAATATGGCCAGAGCTTAGAATCCACATAATTGAAGATGAAACTAAACGAATCAAAGTCAGATTAGGATGGATTTTGAGTACCATTTTAAGAAATGTGGGCTTTTCTTTGAGGACAATTGGAGTCGTAGAAAGAACTATAATCAAGAAACTAATATCAGGTTTGTACTTTAGAAATAACCACCTGTCAGCTAAATGAAGGAAGAGATAGTGGAAATTTTGGTAAGAAAGGAAAGGCAGTTAAGGAGTGGCCAAGGGAATAGAGACAAAAGAAAAAGAAAGGAGAGCAAATAAGAAGATAGAATCAGCAGTCTGAGTGACTAATTGGAAAGTAGCAAAATTAAGTAGGACTACAAGGAGTCTGGGCTTTGTAACAGGTGAGACTAGCCAAGATAAGGAAGGCAAAAAGAAAAAAATAAAAGTTCTTCCTGAGGAAAATTAGAAAACGCATACACACACACACACACACACACACCAATGAACATTAACCACACAAAAACTCCTGTTCACATACACAACAATGAACATTAACCACACAAAAACTCCTGTTCACATACACAACAATGAACATTAACCACACAAAAACTTCTCCTGTTGGAGTTCTTAAGAGGACTAACAAAGATGTCCTGGACACACTTGGAGATGCTGTTTTGGAACTCGATTTAAAGATCTGAGCTGGAGACACATATCTGGGAGTCCTCAGAACACAGATGTTAGAGGAATCAATGGCTCGAGATGATATTGGCAGAAAAAGAGACTATAACCAGAAGTGGAGCATGGACTGAAACCTGTAGTCCTCATCTACGTAGGAGAAAGGAGAGGTAATGGCTAATGGGTCAGATACCACGACTAACCTTACAACTGAAAGTAACTTGCACTGCAAGACAAATCATAAAAAGCATACTTTTAAGAACTTCATTGAGAGAGAAAGAAAAATTCATCAGCAGCTAAAACAAATTGAAAGTGGGAATCTAAATGGTACATAGAAAACTGAAGCTATCGTCACTCCAAGGAAATTTGCTCAAAGCGACTGACAGGGCACTTGGCTTTTAATATCCTCTCAAGGTGCAAGGAGCAAAAAACAAAACCTAGGGCCAGCCCAATTTGGGTATTATAGTAGACACTCCTATAAAAGCTGAGTTCTCCGGTATTCCACCCTCAGAATGACGATAAACAAAAATAATTGATCACCTCCTGAAAAAAAGCAGGCAGGAAGGAAATTTTCCATCTTCAACTTTGATGCAAAGTGGAGAGAGAGGAAAAAAAATACTCTCTTTAAGAATTCATAAGCACAACCTCAGCCTTACTGATAACACATAGGTGTTCCAGAAACCCCATGCTGAGGATTTAGTTTCAGATTGTTCCCAATCCCAGAAAATGAGGAGAAGCAAGTACAATCCTTTTTGGTAGAATGCACTCATCTTGGCCTTAAAGAAATCCTACTGACAAACTTCAAGAAATGAGATTACCAACAAAAATCAAGAATGAATAAGGAAAACATATAATTATGTGAGAGCCAGAAGAAATGACGGGCAGCAGAATCAGACCTACAATACTTCATATGTTGGAATTACCAGGCACAGAATAGAACATAAGTACAATGAAAATGGCTAAATAAGTAAAATGTTTTGAAATAGAATAAAAGAGTAAAACTCTAAAAAATGACTAGACACATTAAAAAAAAAGAGTCAAACAAATCTTCTAGAAGTTCAACTAAAAAAATTCACTAGAGAAATTTAAATAAAGTTGACAGATTAAATAAATGCATCTAATATGTCTCCCTTCTGAAAGCTTGTGACGAGGTCCATATACCCACAAGGACAGTTTGAGTACAAGAGAAGAAATGCTATCAAGATTTTGGAAAATCTGGAAAAATTGGGAAAATAGCCCAACAAATGGTAACAGCCAGAGTTGAGCCAAAAAAAAAGCTGTATTTTAAATGGGAAGTGGGAAAAAATGGAAAACTAATCCATTTTATACATCAGAAGTCCCCAAAGTGTCAAAAAATGAGTGATACCAGCTACCACTGGGAGTGGGGTGCTGCTGGAGGTATAAAACACTAACGATTTGTTGAGATATGTAAAGTAATTATTTATATTCTCCAGATTCCCTTCCCCATTTCACATAAGTGCCTTCCTTTATAAGACTGCTGAATCTCTTACCTTGGAATATTAGACACGCATTAGACAGATTGGGAATTGCCAGAGAGGGAGGTGTTGGTGGGTAGGGGATAGGTGAAATGGGTGAAGGAGGTTAAAAAGTACAGGCTTCCAGCTATAAAGCAAATAAGTCATGGGGATGTAATTTACAGCATGATGATTGTAGTTAAAACACTATACTGTATATTTGAAAGTTGCTAAGAGAGTAAATATTACAAGTTCTCATCCGAAAATTAATTAAAAAATACAGAGAATTAAGCAAATTTAAACATGCCACTTGCCAGGAGATACCACCTTTTCCAAACCCCTTTCCCGTTCCCCACTTAAAACCTTACACCTCTTACACGGCCTGCCTCCCAGAATGCTGGTAACCAGGTCTTTACTCTCCAGAAAAAGCTGGAAAATCTAACAACCTTAAATGAAAGACCTAAAATCATGATATCAGAAGTGTCCCAAATGAAAGTCCCTAACACATCACCCTCCAATGAAGCTTATTGTCAGCATTTCATCCTTCTTGACCATGTGCAGAGAACCAGCAATCAGCACACACCTTGGGAAAGCCTCTAACACAAGAGGTAGAGACAAAAGCAAATATACAGGAAGGAGTACCCTGATGGAGCAGAGAGGATGCATGGAAAGAAAACTTTCATATCCTTCAATAAATAGGAAAGATGATAAACCATAAAATAAGAATACGATGCTAAATGTAAAATGGAATGTAAAATGATTAAATATAAAAATGTAAAATGTAAAAAGAAATGTTCAGGGGAATTAAAAAAAAAAAGCTCTTGGTGATTAGAAACATAATAGCAGAAATGAACCACTTTATAGATGTGCTGAAAGATGGAGTCAAATTAAAGTCTGAGCCAAAAAGAAAGACCAGTGCAGATGTAGCTTCCAGATGATGGAAGCTCCAAAAAGAGAGAACAGAGGAAACTGGGGGGGAGGTAATCATCAAAAATTCATTCGGGAGTATTTCCCACAACTGATACGAGTTTCTACAAAGACCTTTTAATAGCTAAATTCTCAATTTTTATCATAAGAAGCCAACAAATAATTTCTAAGCTTACCAGTGATAAGGATGCACTGTAATCCTATTATTTAGAAATACAGAGACAAGTGCTGTAAAATCAAGCCACTCAAAAGACAGTGGTTCTCTTGCTCTCTGTGCATCCCCTTGCTGAACCAGTCCCTGCTTCACCTACACCCTACTCACCTGACTGACCTTCCCTCTTAATCACAGAGCCTAATCAGGAACTGCCTACTTACCTGCCCCCTTCCCCTGCCCCACCTAGTTTGTTCCAATCTTTGGATCAGAATGGTTCCACTAAACTTTGACAGTTTATCAAAAGGGCTATGAGCGATACGCCCGTCTACTGGTTTCCCTGGTAACCAATGAGCCAACCTGACACCAATTCCCCCAATAACTGGTAACCTTCCTCTCCCAGTGGGAGCAAAGACTGCTGCCATGCCCTGCCTCTCATCTGCCATACACGATGGAGTGCAACTCCTGGACCTTGCTTTGGACGTGTAAGGACCCCGTCCATCAAACCACTGATGAATCTGTTGCTGACTCTGGGTTCTTTCTTCTGGGCAGGCACAGGGCTTGCAGGCCTGCAGGGTGCAGCCCAACAAATGTGAAAATAATCAGATAAAAGAATCAAAATAACTGTTTTTGAGAATAGGGAAATGATCAGGGAGAGGCCCTAGGGATGGCTGTTTTTCATGGTTTGTAGAATGATTTGATTCTTTATGCACATTATTAATTAGATAAAAATGCAAAATGTTACATAACCTTGAATGGCTAGGTTTAATGGCAGATTCAACCCGTACAGATGAAAAAAGAACTAATTAGTCAGAAAAAAAATGTAGTACAGAGAGATAGGGATAGAAAATATGAGGAGGTTAAGACAAGGAGAAGATGTGTGAAGGTCTATTATATGTCTAGTTAGAGTCCCAGGAGAACAGAGGGATGGAGGGAGAGGCAGGTTTTGATGCATTATGACAGTTTTCTGGAACTAATGGAAGACTCCAAAGCTTAGATTTAGAAATCCCAAAGAAAGGTCAGAGAGAAACCAGAAGGCAAGAGTGTCATGAAATCTAAAGAAATATATGTGTTTCTTTTTTTTTTTTAGACTAAGCCCTGGATCCACAATTCTGGTTATTTTTCTATCCTGTCAGTATTTCTTGACTGAAATGTATAAACGTATTTGGTTAGATTCTTAAGAAACATGATTTACTATGCAGAACATCTCAAAGTTGAGAATCACATGTATAGACACACATTAAGTTGACAGTTTGGGGGCTAATGCTATTGGTAAACTCAACTAGAATTGATCAAGCTGATTTCTGACTATAGGCATTGCTTCATAGCTAGAGAGGAAAAAACATTTCCCTTTTGACAGTCTCCCTAGGATATGTTGCCTGAGATATAATGGAAAAGAAGCTTGAAACATATTCCAGTTCGGCCTGTATAATGCCACAGCTAATTGAAGAATGGAAGCATCAGGGAATCAGGCCTTTGTTTTGCTTACAAGATAAAAATCAGTCTAACTCATTCAACATATTAAATTAGTCATTTTGGCATCATGTAGACAAAAACCCTGGTTATCTAATTAGGGAGTTAATTTCCTTTTCTCTTTCCTTAGCAACCTGGTTTCTGTCTGTTGATCATCCACTCATGATTAGTTTCTACTTGGATGATCAGGTATAATTTAGGCCGTGCAAGTATCATTTCAAAATGGTTAGCCCTGCATCAGACGGCAGTGAAATTCTCTTGCCCTCAAAATTTTATATGATTTAAAAAGTTAATGGGCATGGCTGTTAGAATTATGTGAAAGGTACAGGCAACAAAGAAACACAGATTTAAAAAAAAACGGATTCATTTCTTTCTTAATTTAAAGTAGTTCTTTTGCAGTTGCCACAAGTCAATAAAACACTGCCTTAATTGGCAGCAAATGCTGCTTGTTAAAACTACCACAAACTATAGTAAAATGCAAAACATCACAATACCTGTACTAACTCAAGCAGATGTCAGGTGGGGATGGAAAATGGGAATAAGATCTGTGAACAAGTAACAAGTCTCTCTTGGAAGGAGGTTGCTAATTAAACACACTAAGTCCGCACCTTGGCAATATGATAGTTTAACGAACACTTCTTCAGTGGATATTTGATAGGGGACAGAGGCTCACTGGTGCCTTTATTTCACAACTTTTGGCTTGTCACATCTAAGTGGTGAAAGAGTAGTTTTTTCATTTGCAGGAGAATATTATAAACATCACTCTCCTAAATGTTCTTCTGGAATGACCTCAGTATTACACTGGGTACCACAAATACCTCCTATTGACTTTTTAGGATAGCATCATTTTGGGGGGGTTACCCTTCTTTTCTCATATGCTGAAAAAACCTGTATAACTTCCTTCAGGTATCTCGTTGTTTATTTCTCCCTCTTCAAATCAATATGTTAAGTGTGGATGGGAGAAAACAACCCATCTTAACTCTTCTTGCTTCAGCCAGGTTCCTCCATGATGCAGAAGAGTTCACTAAATTAAACGGAAAGCTAAGAAGCACAGCAGTCTGTCTGGGGAATGCCATGTGACAGCCCCCGAGGGAACGGCAGTAGGCATGAATAATGTCTATTCAATTCGAAGCTGCAGTTGAAGTAAATGGATTGTTAATGAATTTTGCTATTTATCTTTGTTTTGTTTTGGCCTCAGTCGATGAAGATAAGCAGTCAAGATGATGAGCAGTGGGTCCTGGCTGATTCTATTGAAAATCCAATTAAAAGGTTCTTCTCATCTTAGATTCTATTGAAATTCTAAAACACAAGGATGCTTCCATTAGGTAGGACAACCGTAATTCAAAGCAGTGCTAGGAAGAGAAGTGGTGTTTAATTGCTTGTCAATAGGCTATTGTTTAATGTCATTCACCTCAAATCAAACTTGCCCAAAGACAAATGTTCATGCTTTTATTAGCTGTACTCTGCGACACAGCGTTCAAATAAACTAAGGACTAATAAATCAAAGTGAAGGGATTTGAACCACAACATCTACTCTTTCTGGGCATCCATGATGTACAAATGATTACTTCTTATTAAAATCCCCAATAAATAAAAGAACATTGCTTGAAGGCATGAAAATAAATTGTTTGCCATTACTCTCAACACATCACCATTTTTAGTATTTTACATGTGGAAAATTAGAACTCCTCTAGACTCTCATAATTTTCAGTATTTACATTGAACCAGGTATATTATAATTATATGTGTGTCTTTGACACAAACGTTTTCCCTTAGAAATCATGTTTTATTTACTTTTGCATTCCCATTTGAAACTGTTAACATAAGCAGTTACTTACTGTGGAAAGACAGAGTGAATGGATGAATGAATGCACGGAGAGCTGGGAGTCTTGGAGGTCTGCCTGTCAGTGTCAGAAAGTCAGGCCAGGCAGACTAGCATTTGCTCCTCACTTCTGACATAGCATCTCACTTTAGTTCTTATTTTCCCTATTGTTTCCATGCTCCTTCACCCTCTCTTCATTTCTTCAGGCAAACGAGAGTTTATAAGCACCTATTAGGGCTATGCTAATTGTACTCACTGTTTCTTCCTCAATAAACTTCCTTCCTGACATAGATGATGAGACAGCACAAATATGAATATTAATGTTATATTCTAAGAGTAATGCAAATGAAGTTGTATGACAGCCTCCATCTTTTCAATGACACCATTAATTTACCACATTTCCTTAATCCTAAAACAGTATTGATTTTTAAGGCGTATCAATTTAGGAACAGCATTTTGAGAAAGACATTATAGTAAAATGTTCACTACTCAACAACAGTATATACTTATCTTTAAAATTCCATGCCAGTTTGTCCATTAATAGCCACATTTAAGCCATGACACATTCTAAGTCTAAAGATGGCTCTGATGAATTTTGACCATCAGTGAATAAGCAGAGCATCACCATGATAAGCAGTGAACATGATCCTAATCACTTTAGCAATCTTAGAAACAACAATATAATTTTGAAACACATCCGATAATCCTAGAGTTATTCTCCATTCACTGTTTGGCTGAACTTATAGTTACTTGTTTTGTTTTTGTATGGCTGTTAATTAAATGACTGATAGTCCCTCAGGACTCAAAAATTGGTCCCAGGAACTTCATCTAGTTCTGAAAAGTCTATGATCAATTCTAAGAGTTTTGACAACCCTACTGTCCTGAATTACAAGGGATGGCAAAAGACAAGTCATCACCTAGATCTGTGGTAACTTTTCATTACAATGCTCCCTAAGGGTATAATCGTTTTGAGGACATTTTAAATAACAAATGCAGGTACAAATTTAAAATTCAAGCAGCTCTGATGGTACTGAGACAAATAACTCTTCTGTTGTTGTCTGATGAAACAGCAGTCAGATAACAGATGCCTTCAATTCTTGGCCATGTTACCGTGAGCTCAGAAATGACAATGACTTTAGAATTTACTTCACAGCCCAGCAGCATATAGGCATCTTTTGACATCAGTTAAATTTTGACATCTATCAAAAGATGTTTCCCAATTTTGGCAACGTTAAAATTAAATTAAAATTTTTTTTTTAGAATTGAAGTAAATATGACCCATAACTTGTGGTGATTTAATAAAACTACATTCCCGTTTTTATACCTGCGTAATACACTGGACATATTTCACATTTTTTGATGCACCCAGGTTGTTGCTGTACTAGACCAACAGAGTTGCACCTCTCTGATTTTGGCAAAAGTATCAATCTTCTACATAAAATCATTAGGAATCTTTCTAAGAGACCTCCTAGGGCAAGGAGGAAGGCTCAGTCTGAGTTGCTTCTTGCTCATGTAAATGCTGTACGTAAGTCAGAAGTATACACACACAGAACAGATGAAATTCCCAAGCAGCTGAACTTTGACTTGCTGACAACAACTTTCCAACTTAACTCAAGGTCTAAGTATAAAGACAGCAGATAAATAAAAGAGAAATTAAACATTCTGGAAATGGGTACAGGGAGTCTATGGATGCCACTAAGGACAACCACAACAAAAAGAGACCATACAAGGGACATCTCGTTCAGAAGTTGATAAATACAGGTTCAGATCTGCTCTTTTAAGGTAACAAAATAATATCCGAGGGAAAATATTTACAAGGGTTATTTGAAAATGGGATAGGTTCTGTGGCTAAAGTGGACTGTTGATAATAATTGGCAACTATTTGGAAAAGAAGAGAGGCAGTAATTGAAGCCCTAAAAACATGAATTGCTATTAAAAATAGTCATCAAAAATTAAACTGGAACTTGTGTTCAAGCTTAACAAATTTTGCACATGCAGCCATCAGTCTCTTTATCAAGCACATGCTCCTTGTCTAATGTGACTAGGTCCAGCTAACTCTGTACTGGGCACCTTAGACCACACTTACCCTAGCCTTGTTCTCAATCACCAGTCCTAAATCACTTTGAATCCTACAATCTAATTTGTTCTGCATCTCTGCAGTTTCCGACTACATGATTTTTCTTCCCATTTACGGCCTTGCTTCTGCCTTCAGACTACAGATTCACTCCTATGCTCTTGTTGTCCAAGGCATCTATAACTTGAATTATTTTTTTCTGTAACTATATGGTCTTCAACAGCCCTGGGTGATGACCTGCATATTTGAACCCTCTGTCTCATTGCACCTCTCCATGGGCACTGCCCTCTTCTGTTTTGGATGGACCTTCAGTGAGACCCATCTCAATGGAGTTAATAGGGGATCACTATTTCCTACAATGATGAGAATGAGATTGAGTAGTAAAAGCAAAGTTTAAATACAATAGGAAAACCTCTAAGATAAAAGAAGTTGTTCTCAAAATTTCATATATTTTCTTAATAATGTCTAGAGTATAACTCATGAATAAAGACTAAGTTCCCAAAATTTTAAAGGCATAAAAAGTGCCAGACTATGAAATATTTATCCAATATCAATCCTATCTCTGTATCATCTGCCACCATAAAATCAACAGAATGCATGGATTCTACAAAATAAATCATTCATTTAAAATTATATTTCATTAAATTTATATATAAACACACAGAGATAAAACATGGCTAAGATTACTTAGCTATATTGACCTAGTATGCACAAATAAATAAATTAACTGTATGTCAACAATTATAAAAGTATATGCTTAGAGAGCAAATCTTATGCAACTGTAAATAATGTTAATTGACTGGATTTGAAATTATTAGAACAAAATCGGTTTAACTCTTTTTCTATGAAAGAATTAACTTTATTTTGAAATTTATACCATAAGTAAGTACCCCAAAAGGTTTCAAACGACACCTTCAATACCTTGGTTTGAAGCCTGGACTCCTTAGTCAAAAATAGCAAAATAAATCTCCAGTGGAGAAAACTCCCTTCAATTTTAGAAACTCTTATTTTGCATAAACTGCTTGCACAACATTAGTCTTAATAAGCATAGATTTTAATTTCATTCAAAATGGCATTTGTAGGAAATGCAAATATATGTTGGAAAGAGTTATCAGGCTTATAGCTTGGGCAAGTAAAAGAAAACTAAGGTTAAGTATTCTGCTCTGCTCTCAGAATAATTCCGCGGGGACTAAAGTTAATTTGAAACAAAATCTGGAGGTTTGCACAGACTTGGAGAAACTGATTTCTGTAACTAGTATCACCCACCACTAGTGGCCAAGAGTCCAGATGGGTTCGAAAGTTAAACATGCTTATTCTGAGCCATTAGTGCCGTTGCCAGACCACTAAAAATTCAGAGATAATCAGCCATTTGTTGGGAACCTCAGGCACAAACCTGTGGTTGGAGAGAGAAACAGAGAAACACATATTTCCAAATATTATCTCATAGTTATTCAGCTGCAGGTCTAGAATCACTTGATTACCTCTGAACTGAGCAAACCCTGAGGTGCTCTTACCAAATGACCACGGTGCAAAATAGGGAAGCATCCATCATCGCTCTCGCCTCTGATTTGTTTCTCATCATCCCAAAATAGAATGGGAAATGTTGCTCATTTTAAACTAATCCATTAATAACTGATTATTATAGGTAGGAATAGGGGGACTATGTACATGTATATAAAAGGGGAATATACGTATTCCCTGAGATGGGGGAGCTGACTCTTTCATCCGACCCCCTCCACCAGGGAACATTCTCTCTTTTGAACACCATGGGGGATGCCGCGGGCCGGGGCTGGAGCCTGTTCCTGAATCGTCTATGAATGGTCTTGAACTGAGGAGTTTAAGTTTCAGGGAAAAAAAGCCTACAATGGCGTACAAAAGGAAGGAAAATCCTGTCCATTTGAAAAGAGTATAAAAGGCATATCACAATAGATCTATAGGAATAGGAAAGCTTTTAGCAGGTCAACAAGGATGAAATAGCATGCTTATCAGAGGGAACAACAGAGCCGGAGAGGTTTAAGTTTAGGAAATAACCATCCAGATGCCAGAGAGTATAACAGCCCCCTCCAATTTTTTAAGAACTGCATGCCAGGTACAGCCAACATTCTACACAGTTACATCTAATAACTCGTCTAATTTCTGCACTAATACTATGGACAAAACAGTATTAACAACACCATCATTTTACAGATGAAGAAATTCAGGCACAAGGTATTTTCCATAACTTGCCTCAGAGAACACCACTAACAAAAGCAGGAGCTGGAATGTGAGCTGAGGCTGAGTGATTGTGGGGCCCACGTTCCTAACCACTAGGCTGTACTATCCCTTGAGCAAACAGAAGGCCTTAAACCAGCTAAGTAGAATCAGGGTATATCATGGGGTCCTTGTTCGCCTCCTAGACTGAAGAGTTTGTACAGGCATGTCTCCGGCCGTGTGAGTTTCTGTAATACATGAGTTGAAAAGAACATGATTGAACAATCATGGAGCAAGACTGGCACTACTCCAGCAGCTGCTGGACAGAATGTTACTGTGACTGGGAAGAAGCACCTTGCTCAGTGGAAAAATGCTATTGAGTAAACAGTGTAGGAACTCACACCTGCTTGGTGTGCAGTAAATGGAAGCTCAGCTGGCGTCCTTTCTTCTGTTTCCTGCTGGAGGTTGTAAACAGCACCGGCACTCATTTTGATTGTTCAGAGTTTATTGATTCTTGTCTGATCTTACATGCTCTTCAGAATTTTCCCAGGGATGTTCCATTCTGCTTTAGGTTTGCCCGCTTTGATCAACCAGTGTATTATTTTTAGGTTTCCCCAAATATTACTATGGCCATTTTTTAAGATCTTTATTATCAAAATTCTTGAAGGAAATATAATTTGGTTATTGCTGGTCTCCTATTACTTCCTCCCTCACTTGCCCCCACCTCCTGCACAATTAAAACAATTAGTTTCAGGACACAATTTTTGAAAACGTGGATTGTTTTTAGTAATATTACTGGCATGTGCTAGCAAAAGAGATTTAATTCAAAATTCAGTATGTAATGTGGGAGCATTAAAGGTTTCTGAGCAGGTAAGTGTTATATGAGGAATCGTGAATTAGAAAGATTAAACATCCTGTGCAGATGCTCTGCAGTGAGGAAAAAAGAAGAAACAGAGAAAAATAAGGATGAATGAAAGATGCCTGCATTTGGAATCTATGTGTCTGGGAGAATAGCAGTGACATTAATAACCCCAACCATGAAGACATAAGGACAAATGTGATAAAAACAACATCTCAACTAACCATATTTTAAAAATACATGTAATTCTCCTGTCATGAAATTTCATTTTCTGTAACAAATTCCAATGTCACATTGTTTCCCCAAGGGGACACATTGCAGCCTGAAAACTGCTTATAAGAAACAATTAAAATCAGCCTCTTAATAATTTAGCTGTTCCCATAGGCACCCTGTTTCTCTGTTTTTGAAGAGGCTGCACCTAAAGCTATGAATAGACAATTATGTGCAATGCCTATTTTAAAGTACCTCATGGTTAAACTCACCTCTTGCTGTGTTACCATGGAATTTAACTCTAAATAATAAAAAATAAAAGCAGTACTACAATCACACTTAAAAATTGATCTACTTATTGAAAATCTCTTTATCTCTTTGACTGATATTACTCCCCACAATATATTTTCAATAATCAAAATTAGAATTAATTCCAATTAATTCTAATTGGAGATCAAATATGAATCCTAAGCATTTTCTCACAGACACAGACCTTTGAAAATTAAAATTAATTATCTCATTATATCAATAACAAATCAAAGGTAAAATCTTCCATTATCAGAACGGGGTCTTTGCTATACAAGATATAATTATCAATCTATTTTCCAAGACAGAAGCATATTCCTGGCTATGTATAAATGTGCTTTTCTCATAATTGATAAATTATGGATTAGCCTCAACTCACCTTCTGTAGATTGACAAATGTGTGGAAATCCTCAAAATGCAATAATCAATGGGAATATGTCTGAATAGTCTGAAGTTATCGCTTGGCAAATTGCTTTGTTTTCTTCCAGGTTAGTTATGATGTGTGCAACCTCAGTTTGTGTCTATAGCAGATGTTTCCTATGAGGTAAGAACAGATTGCAGCATCAATGCATTGCCCAAGTTTATTTTGAATTCTAAACTTTATTCTTAAATCTTAACAAAATTATTACGTTTGATAAGGCTTATTTTACTATTTTCCAAGGCAGGAATAAATTTGATTACTCTGATAAATATCAGCTGAAAAGATTGAATAAGATTTTAATAAATGACCTGAATAGATAGATATGTGAGTAGTTTTTCCATATAAGCAAAAATGTCATTGAATAATTGACAATTCAACAAAGGTTTAATGATCATTGAGGTCTTTTTTTTGTTTTCAGGATTCTTTCTACTATGTTCAAATCTCTATTTACACTGAGAAAGTATACCTAGTTGCTTAACCATCTTTATTCATTTCTTCTTCCCGTGGCCATAAATGCATTGTTTTATTCCAGACTTTTATTTAGGTTCATATAAGACATCTGTAGGATTATAGCAATATCACCTATCTCACATTCAATGAAGATAACTGTTTCCCCTAAAATGAAAAAGCTGGTGTATGTGCCCCCCCCCACTTCACACACACACGCCAGCTTTTTCATGTTAGAGGAAATACCACACCAAAAGATAGCTCAAGGATGACTACAAAATACGACTCTACCGTAATAAGACATCAGAGTAGCCCTGGGCATACACCTACTGTAGAAAAACAGAGCCATTTTGATAAAGGGCTGTTTGAAGCAAATTGACTCTGAAGCGTTTGCTCCCTGGGGGCCAGGGCAGACTTTTTTGGTTCTCTCGGCTGCCACTGAGCCTACTTTTGGAAACAACACCTGATAAAAAACCAGTCACCTGCCTTAAAGTCCCTTTGCCTTAAACAGAATTTAATCCCCTAAAACGATGGTTTTCTACTTTAGATGCATATCGAGTATCTGGGGAAATGTATCTTGTTTTGGGAGTTATCCAAAACCAATCAAATAAAAATCTCAAGATGGAAGTTGAAGCAGAATTTGGGGTGTTGTAAGAGTTGAGTTCTCTGTGGTTGAGAATCACTGCCCTAAGTCTATAAAGCCATATGTGCCCTATTCTCCTGGTCCAACTCATCTTGCTGAATCTCAATCCTGCTTCAGTGAGATGCCCATGGCTAACCCAAACCACCTGTTACTTGGTTTGCTGCTCGCAAGATACTGGATTGGGGCTGATGGTTGTGTTTTGATAAATACTTGTTAAAAATTAAGGATAGAGAATTTAGGGGAAAAATTAAACCATAGTCACAGAATAAGAGGACTGAAAGTAAGTTATTCTGAAACAAAGCAAGCAAACGAACACTGAAGAGCTCATGTACAATGTACAAGAGAACAGAACTAAGCCTTATTTGGGAAGCACACCATACATAGGATAGAAACCTAAATCTTTACCCAGTTGTGAGTAAGACTCCCCCGATCCAGATATCCATCTCTAACCATCCCTGAAGAGGCTATTTAATGCAAGACTTTGTAAAGACAGATATTGATTGACAGTGACTGAATGTGTTCAGTGGGATGAGAATAACACAGAGTCTGCTTCTGGATAAACACATACACAACCTATACATGTGATGCATTTTTGTTAGTAACTATGAGTTTCTCCTCTCTAACTTGTTGGTGACCTCCTTAATCTCATGAAGGCAAAGTAATTGCTTCTCATGGGCCAACTCCAATAGGTAGGTTGGAAATGACAACCTCCAGGATGAGCAGAGGAGGACTGTTGAGATGTGGTGGGATCCACAGGAAACAAAGCCCCCCATGGAATCAGCAGTCCCTGTTACAGGTGAGGAGAGAGTGTACATTGGCACCCAGCAATGTGCTTACTGACCCTGTCCTAGCCCTGTATGGATAACCAACACCCATACTCCCGACCTCACTATTCTGGGTTGTTTTCCCCATCCCCTTTATCTGGTCCTACTTAATTTACTGATCCTTTTTCTATGGTCAAGAGTTCTAACACTCCTCACCATCTCACTATGAGCAGACATTTCCTCATATTTTATCTTTTAGGCTCACTGAAAAAAAATTCTTAGTTATCTCCTTATTGTTAAGAGTTTAGACTCTTAAGTAAAGAGCCCATAATGACTGTGTTATTTTGGGAGATGGGGGAGGGAAAGGAACTGTAGCGGAGGCAAGTTCTAAGAATTTCTGATCTTAATTTAAAAGACCTGAAGAGTGTTCCTTTCTCTCTTTTTCTAATATATTTTGGGAAATGTTTGCCACCAATAACATATTTTCCAGAAATAGCCTTGTTTTTCTTTTTGCAAAGCACTACCTCCCTGTCTTTTTCTCTCCCTCCTCGGAGCCGACCTGCCATGGTGGGAAGGGATCTCTATTCTGCTTTGGGTTTGAGTGAAAAAAAGCAACTTCCAATTCAAATCTAAGTGAAAAACACACCTCCACCAGCAGCCAGGGACCCTGTGCAGACCTCCTTCTACTTAGACTGCACTAAAATTATTGTGGAAATCGTGACCTAAATTCCTCCAGTTTGTTTATTCAGCTATTTCATAAGTAATAGTTAGTTTCATCCAACATAATTTTTGCCAGTATTAACATATTTCTCAGTCCAACACATAAAATCTATGAGACAGAAAAGCTGATTAAAAATACAATAGAATGGCTGAATTTTAGAAAGTGTCTGTAAATTTAATATAGAACCTACAATGAAAAACCAGGGCATACTATTTGGTACCTAAATATTCTGTATCCTGTTTCTTAAAGGATTTTTTTTCTAATGTTATTAAATTCATACAAACATGCTGTCCAAGTAAAGAATGTCATCTTCCATATTCTGGATAGAATTTAGAAGAGTTTTAAATAAATTTATGATATGAAATGAAGCTATCTTTGATTAATTAAGATGCTACAATGATGGAAATATTTTAAAGATTTTAAATATTTAAAAGATTTTAGTCTTATTGAAAAAGCAGACAACACTGTAGCAATACTGATCAATGAAAAATGAAAAAACAGCAAATTAAATAGCATTAGGAACAAGAAATGAGTTAATCACTGTAGATTAAGTAGAGATCTCTTCAATCATAAAATAGTAGTGAGAGAAACATTATCCCAATAAATTTGAAAAAAAATAGATTAAGAAATAGTTTCCTGGTAAATTATACCTTACCAAAATAAAATAAGAAAGAGAAAACTTGAATTGACCCGGAATCATTTAAGTTTGTTAAAAATATATTTCTCATGAATTTCTGTTTAATGAAAGGCACTGTTGAGAGAAAAAAAGACAAGTCATAGAAAACAAGAATGAAAAAGGAAGTCAAAGAACAGAAAATATTTGTATAAATATAACCTAAAGACCTCAAACTCAGAACATTACATATGCGTGTATGTATATATGTGTATATATGTATGTATGTGTAGTTACATTTTCCTGTAACTTTTGAGAGAAAAAAAAATCCAATAGAAAACAGGCAAAATATTTGAATGAGTAGTTCAGAAAAGAGGATATCCAAATGGCTGATAAACACACAAAGGTATTTTCAATTTCTTTAGTGATAAGGGAAATGCAAATTAAAACTTCAGTGAGATAGCACTACTCATTCACTGAGATGGTCAAAATTAAAAGACTAACAATACTAAGTGATGACAAGAATGTGAAGCAACTGGAACTCATGTACAGCTGGTGAGACTGTAAATTGGTTCAACTTCTATGGAAAACTGGCAGTATCCACTAAAGATTCCTTATGCATTCCCCATGGCTCAGAAATTCTACTTCTGGGCATATGCTCAACTGAACTGTGTGCGTGTATGGTGGTCTTTATGTGTATGTGTATAAACATACTAAAAGAACATTTATAGTAGACTTTGTAAGAACCATATACTAGAACAACCCAAATATCCATTAACATTAAAATAGATGAATAAATTATATTAAAAGGGCTTTGTTAGCATTGAAATAGTCACAACATCATTGGTGCCTAGCTTCCTTCCAAGTGATGTAACAGCAAAGCAAATATGAAACACACATCATTTCCCTGAAGCGCTAGCATGTTGAAATCCAAAATATCACTATAGTTTCCTACTTGCAAGGAAAAGAACATAGCTTGAGTAATGAACGAATCAAATGAGATCTCAGATGCCCAAAAAAACCCTATAATATATTCACATGAGGGAATACTATAAAATTATGAAAAAGAATGAACTACAGCTCATTCAATAATATGAATTTCATAAAAGTAACAGTGAGCAAAAGAAGCCACAGGCAAAAGAGTTCATCATATGTGATGTCACTTACATGAAGTTCAAAGCTAATCGATGGTGCTTTAAAGAAACTTTTTGTTCAGCTTTGAGCACGTGCACTTGAGTGTACACGCTGAACAACGCTATGCTCTGGAATTCCATACAACGCATTCTGGATTTGTTTGAAACCAGACCTCCAGGTAGCAGTAAAGTGAAACCTGGGAGTGGCCACTTGCAAAGAAGAGTTTACAATCTACCTTGTAAGTCACCCAGAGACCTGAACTCCAAAAGCTGCCTGATTAGTACTTTCTCCTTTTTAAATCTATATCAAGCTCTTCCAGTTTTCACACAGAGAAACTGCATTTGTACTTGAATGGTGTCTCTTCATTGCCTAGCAAGCAAGTAAATTTAGCTTTATTTTAGATTGTTATTTAGCAGTCTTTACTTTTTTTAACTTAATGGTTGGCAGAAGTCAGGATACCGGAGGCACATAAAGGGAAGTCATACAGTGAGCTTGTGAGGTGCTGATAATATTCTAGTTTTCAATCTGTGGTGGTTACAAAGCTGTGTTAATTCTATGGAAATTTTTTGAGCTCTGCTTTTATAATTTTAGTGTATGTTATGATTCAACAAAAGTCACTTTAAGAAATAAGAACTGTGTAGCAGTTAAAAATGTTCCGAACAAAACAAAACAAAAACTCAAAAGCACACCAGGCTGAGATGATTTATGGGCAAGTTCCATTAAACTTTTAAGGAACAAGTAGTTCCTAACCTTGCTCCAAAGAATAGAACTATAAAGACTCTGCCCTTATTCATTTTATTTCCAGGTTAGTATAACCTTGATAGCAAAAACTAGACTATGTTAGGAAAACAATTTATGAACAGATCTCACATATGAATATGACACCAAAATCTTTTTAAAAAATCTGAATTTAGCAGGGAAATGAACAAACCAGGAACACAGAAGTATTAGAGACGAAAAAAAAAAAAACAGTGAAAATTCATCTATCCAAAATCAGAATTTAGGTTCAGTACGTTTCATATATGTACCCTATGTAACCTCATATAATTTAGATATTCACGAATATAGTATTAGAATCTCAGAAACATCTAAAGATACATGGAAATCTTGCATTAATACTTTTCTTTAAAAAAGATCTGATTTCTCCATTACCCATTTAACCTTTTTCCTAAGAAGCAATGTGGATTAAGAGCATGGAGGGAGTAGGGCAATGCTTGGTTACTCTGTTTATCTATTCACCATACTCCTGAAGGGAGCAAAGCCTGTCAATGAGGCTGGCTGCTCCAAATCAGAGGAAGCACCTGCCTGTGCCCAGCACCGTGGTCCTCAGAGTGTGGCCGCCAGACCAGCAGCATCAGCACCACCTGGGACTTGTTAGAAATGGTATTTTCAGGCCCCAAGTAAGACTTGACTAAATCAGGAACTGAGTTGGGGCCCCAGTCATGTTTAACGAGCTCTCTGGAGATTCTGACACCATTTAAGGTCTAAGAACCACTGTCCTGGAGTAACAGTCTCTGTTGCAAACAGGCAAGTTCTGTTTCTGCTGCTGCCATATCTTCTTTCTTTCTATTTAGTCCAGGAAACAAAACAACCATAAAGGAAGAAAGTATCAAAAGGTGGTGTGTCCCCCTACCAAAGCAGGATAACTTTCCAACAGAAACGGAGAGAACAGAACTCATGTCCAGCTTTTCTAACCATATTGTGAAATAGGAAAACAACTTACAAAAATGTATTTTGAGTTGGCTTCAGGCTTTTTGAGTATCAACTTTTACTATTTTTTAATTACATTCTATATATAGTAACTGTAGAAAATAGGATAATATAGATAAGCACACAAAATAAAACTATAAGCCTGTAATCTCATCATCTACAGACAATATCTTTTAAATGACTTATAAATTAATTTAATAATGTTTTAATAAATGATAGGGCAAGCTATACATCATTACTCTTGTTTCATAATTGTCCTAAGTGTATTTATTATGATACTTTGGTGATCACTCTTTCAGATTTTAAATAAAAGCTGGTAACATACAATACCTTGATTTTGGGCTTCTGGACTCCTGAACTGGGCAAAGAACACATTTCCATTGTTCTAAGCCACCCAATTTGTGGTAATTTGTTATGAGAGCCCTCAAAAACTAATCTAGGGGTGAAATTATTTTGTCTTTCAAACAGACATCAAATTGACCCAGTACCATTTATTGAAACACCATACTTCGCCCACAACTCTGCACTGTCACCTTTGTCAGGAATCAGGCAACTAAAAATTTGGGTCTGTTTCAGGATTCTCTATTCTGTTTCATTGATCTGTACCATATCATCTTAATTACTATTGTTTTTATAAGAGCTATGTTTTTCCTGGAAATTTAAGTCCTTTAGCCTTGTTTTTCTCCAAGATTATCTTTTTTTTCTTACGATATTCATTTCAGTATAAATTTTACAATCAGCAATTTCAATAAAAAATCCTCAATTGAGAGAAGATTGGCATCTATACAATATGAACTTTCAACTCATCAACAGGATATATCCTTTCATTAAGTTATATATACATTAACTGCTTTTAACAAAGTTTTGTGGATTTCAGTATAAACAGTTTGTACACTTCTTTTGGCCTAATTGTTCTATTTTTGGTCCTTTGTGATATTATCATGATGTCATTTTTAGAAATGCTCATTCTCTACTTATTGCCTAAATATACACAAATACAAAATATTTTTACATAGTGATCTTGTATCCAGTGACTTTGCTATTTTCCTTATGTAATTTTGATCCAAGATAAACTTGGATTCTCTTGAATTTCTATGACTATGATTGTGTCATCACACAGAGTGAGTTTTATTTCTTCATTCTCAATCTGTACAGTTTCTACTTTTTCTTGCTTTATTTTATTGGCCAGAAATCCATGAAGAGGATGAATAAAAGTGGCAATGGTGGGCAAACTTATTTTGTTTCAGCCTCTTCCCCAGCTCAAGTCTGGTATGAACCAGAATGTCTGCTCACTGAGTTCCTCCAAGTCTTCCCAGTGGAGGAAAAGGATGAGGAAGGAGGTGCAGGGAAGGTCTGCCTTGATGAGTTGTATTCTACCATTGCATTGCTCTCATCTGGTCAGAGCAGATACTCAGATCAGACTCAGGACTCCTTGAAGATGCCTCAGCATTGATAATCTCCTCTGTCATCTCTGTAGGCAGGCAGTGTCTCCCTGGTTTGTCTATAATTCTACACAGATTTCCTCTGCTTAGCTCTCATCCTTATTCACCTTCCAGGAAGCCCTCTTGGTTCCAGCCCCTGTAAGATGGTTCTACACCAGCCCTCGTCCCATGCTTGCGCCACAGGAAGTATCCATGCAGCCTTTGCACCTTCAAACCATGGAAGGGCCAAAGGGGCCATCTCTTCTTACTCTCCCATGAAAACCACCAGCCAGCCTGTCTCTCCCTTCAGGCTTTTCTGGATGTAGATCTAACATTGACATCTAAACCTCATCAACTCCAGAGGACACAGGTCAACAGTCTGAGTGGTTTCCTTGAAGTCTTTCTCACTAGGCCTGAATTAAGCTGAGTGTATGCTGACCCCTTCACCGGCGACATCAAGGGAACAGAAGATGCAGCAGTACTCCCGACTCTCTCCTTGCTTTATTTAAAATGAGTATCGAGCTAAGGATAACAAACCTATTTCTGACCAGCTTTCCTCTACTTCTTCCCATCTTCACTTGGAATACTTTTTTTTTTTAAATCTTCAGAAACTAAGATGGAAGAAATCAGTTTTATTCTTGTATTTTGAGCACATGTAAACACTGGCCCATTAATACATTGACAAGTTTGTAACTTGGGTTTTATTTAAAAAAGCTCTTACTAATTAAGAATATCTACCCCTGTGTCATAATTGTCACCATTTTCCCAATTTAATATGGCATCTAATTTTATTATCTGCGTTATGAATCATAACTCATGGAGTAATTTAGATGAAAACATTGCGTACAAAATCTTGTATTTGGTTGCTACTTACTCAACAAAACAAATTATGTGAGAAAATTTATAAAATAAAATAGACTAGTGTCATATGATGCTCTGTCTAAAGCTAAAAACCATCATATTAAACCACTATATCTTGGACTTTAACTCTTCCCTCCAAGTACTCAGGACCTATGTACATTTCTGAAGACTTGTATCCTTTCTGTCCTGCTCTGGGTACAGAAAGCTTCGCTTTGGTGTTAAGCACTGTTTTTCTAAGGTAGAACATTGCCTAAATTGCCTTACTTCTTAGCCTGTAATAACAATGCTTGGACCTTACACTGACAGAGTATTCATTAGACATACTACATTGGGCAGGGCTAAAAACAAAACAAAACAAAACTTCTCTTCAGCTTTTGTTGGTTATCTGTGGAAGAAGGGTTCCATTTCCATGGCAGTTATGTAAACAACATCTCTCTTGCATAACAATGCTCTTACTCTGAAAAGACTTAGCTGGCCCACATGCCTAGGCTGCATGAAGACACGTAATTAGCCCTTTGAATGTTGCAAATCAAGACAACTCTGCGTGTTCTTCTCCATAGAGAACTAATATTATTCTGCAAATTAGTCTTTTACCTTCCAGCAGGGTCCAAGTTGAAATGTTACTTCAGAAGTCTTTTGAAGGGGGAGGTGAACCAAATCTTCCACCCTTTGCTCCTTAACTTTTAAAATATACATTAAAGCAACAGAATAAACTCTGAGTCTTTTTTTTTTTTTTTTTTTTTTACCTATTGGGTTTCCTCACACACTAATTAGGTCAATCCTCTGATGGTACAAAACTTAAAAGACTTCCTCACTTTTGTCAGTCTACTTTATTTTTAGAGAACAACATTTTCTAAATTGCATTAGTGTAAAAATTGGGAAGTAATTCATTCATCGTAACACGGTTATCCATATTTCTCATTTCAAATAATCATGTCTTTTAGGTCAGGAAAAAAATGCAAGGATGAATATTTCCTCTGTTGATACTGTACTTTCAAAAAAATAAAATAATACCTCTAACACAAATACAAAGATGTCTACTTTCAGACTCTGTGTCTCTTCTGGCTCTTGCTGTTTACTGTTCTCTCTTCAGTCTTCAAACATCAGAGTTTCTGAAGCCCGATAACTTGCCCTTTTCCATGCTGAGTGGTCTATACGCTCAGTCTCTAGGTGACTTCATCCTCCCCATGGACTCAGTTAAATCTCTTGCATTTATATCTCAGGACAGATGCCTCTGAGGTTCACACAGACACAGGCAATCACAACTTCTCTGTTCACTGAAGTTTACCACCAATCTCAATTGCTTCATTCCCAAAACCGAACCCCAGATTTGGCTGCACTAATCTGGTCCTCCTCAAAGATTCTTCATCTCGGCAAGAAACTTTGTCTTTGTTGGCTGCTGTAACCAATACCCTAGACTGGGTGGCTTACACAACAGTTATTTCTCACAGTTCTAGAGACTTGGAAGTCCGAGATCAAGGTGCCTACAGACTCAGAGTCCGGTGAGGACCCACTTCCTTGTTTGCCTTATTACTCTATCCTCACATGTCAGAGAGAGAGAACATCTCTCTTCTGTCTTCTTATAAGGGCACTAATCTTATTCATGAGGGCGCTATTCTCAAGATCTAATTACCTCACAAGGGTCCCATCTCCTAATACCACTGCACAGGTATCTGAACAACCTATAAATTTGGGTGTGTGGAGGATACATTCAGTCCATAGCAAACTTGGAATCATCCTTGATATCTCTTCTTCTCTTTCCATATAGATTCAGTCACCTCCTAAAAAATCTCCCAAGTGTGCCCACTTCTCTCCAACAAACACTGCCACCCTAGTGTAAGTGACTTTGATTGCTTACTGGGAGACTAATAGAACGATATCTTCCTAAATGTCCTGTTGGCACCACTGTATTATTCTACATACTCTAGCCTTTGTTGGTATTTTAAAATTTAAGTCCGATCATGTCATCCTTAGATTTATCTAAACACCTTTGGAGCTCCCTATTTTTCTTAGAATAAAGCTAGAATATACTTAAGCTCCCTATGATCTGACCCCTGGTCTCTCTCACTGGTCTGATTTGACCCGCTCACCTTTCTTACTGTGTTACCTTTTCTTTCCTTGTTGAGAGCACTTCCATCACTATCCCACCTTGGGGCTTTCACACATGCCATCACCCTGACCCAGCACTCTGTTTCCTCCTCACACTCCCTTTACCTAGTTGATGTCACAAAGATGTGACACTCAAGTCCCCTCAAGGAGGAATCTGTTTTCTCAGTGGCTGGGAGTACCACTGACAGACAGCTTCAACTGTTAGCCTGTACAGGAATTGCCTCAGTGGCAGGGAACTTTCTTGCCCAAGGTCACACCCTTTTTTGGAGAGGCCCACAACGAATGACTGATGGAGGTGGAACAGAACAGAACAACTCTGGTGGGACAGTGTAGCTTCCAATCTCCCTGTGAGGTTGGCTGAGATCTGCATCACAGCTTGACTTCTCCCTCCGCTGAATCCTGTTCCTTTCCCTTCCTTCCACCAATGTGGATCCTGACCACTCTCTCTAGTAAACAATCTGTCCAATAATCACAGCCTGCTTCCAGTCACTCCTCCTCCAAACGTCTGATTCGATGTCACTTCCTGAAGGAAGCTATGTGCTAGTTTTTTAGGGCTGCCAAAACAAATACCCACAAACTCGCTGACTCCTAACAGCAAAAATGTATCCTCTCGTACGTCTGGAGATTAGAACACTGAAATCAATGTTCTGGCTGGGCTATGCTCCTCTGAGTGCTCTGGGGGAGGATCCTTCCCACCTCTAAAAGCTTCTAGTGGTAGCTGGCAATCCCCTGCATGCCTTGGCTTATAGATGCATTACTCCAGTCTCTGCCTTCATCTTCACATGGCCTCCTCCCCTGTGTGTCTGTGTTTCTGTGTACAAATCTCCCTCTTCTTATAAGGATACCAGTCATACCCGATTTAGGGCCCACCCAAACCAGCTATGACCTCATCTCACCTTGATGACTGCAAAGTTTCTATCTCTAAATAAGATTGCATTCACTGGTTCCAAGGGTTAGGGCTTCACCAGATCTTTTTGGAGACACAACTGAATTCATGAGTTGTATTACTGAGGACATATTTGGATGTAAGCAGCATAAATTGTAGTAAATATCTGTCATTCTTTCTTGTGACAGAACATCTTTGAACAGTTTCCTGCTATTAAGGTATTTTCCTAATACTCACCATGCAAGTCCAGCATCTGTGTTCTCAGCCTTCTTTGCAGTACGGATGAAGACATGTGACTTCTGTCATCAGACATTCCTGTCAAACACAGAATTGGAAGCCAGTGGTGTAAAGAAGCATTCTCTGTAAAGGATCTATTTTGGCAAGGGAAGTGACAGAGATATCCAATTTCCAGAGGCGGGAGAGTCAGAGTCTAGGTACTATCAACTTCAAACCCACATTGTGTGTTTCCAAGGACAGTAGCTGAGGTCCCTTCAGTAGACCAGTTATGTAGTGTAATTCTGGGCACTGATCCTGGATGTGTAGCTTCTAAGCATGGCTCTCTGGCCAGCCCAGAGAGTCAGTAAGTTTTATAATATCTTTTTGAAACTGCCTTTCTTCTTAAACTAGTGGGAATACGTATGATGTGCAACTAAGACCCTAACTTATATAGAAATGCAACTTGAGTTAGTTTAGATAAAAGTAGAAATGAAAAAGAAAAAGTAATGAAAATAAATTTATTGGTTAAAAGCTCTGTAAGGATTTAGGAGTAATACTTGATATGGTCTCAGGACTTCCGTTTATTTTATCCCATCTCTCTTATCTCTGCTTTTCTCTGTGTGACGAGTTCATTCTTTCAGGTTGATTACCTGCACTAGAACCAGAACCACCAGCAGCCTCTGTGCTCTGATCCTGCATTTTAATAGCAGAGAGAAAAGAGCTTCTCTTCGCCAGTTCCAGTTTTACAGATCCAGGCAAAGGCTTTTGATCACCCAACTTGAACTATGCCTGCCCAGTCCCATGGCTAAGTCAGCATGGTCAGGAAATTGAGTTACTATTAATTCATTCAAATTACTGCAGCCAGAGAGGTAGATCATCCACCTCCCTTCAAGAGCACATGTCAGAGTGGAGAAGAGGGAGAAAGGAGCAGATTCCCCCAGGGAGGTAAGTCTGCAAGGGGGGAGAGAGAGGACAGACAGCGTAAACACATCCACTGGAAAAATCATTACGAACCCGACCGTTACCTCAGTTTGCATCTACCATAAATGTTTTATGTGCTTACAGATTAAGTTTTATCTGTGCTTACAAATAACAAGTACTACCCCTTTAGGACTTAACTGTTGTTAAACAGGGCATTCTATACATTCATTAGAATATGGGCTCCATCTAGACACAAAACCCCCGCTATATGTTGCTATATTCCCAGTGTCTTGGGGATGTAGCAAACTGGATATAGGGAAATAACGACCTTTGTTAAGCAACCAAATAAATAAATGACATCTGACTCACTGAATGCATCTAGGATATGGTATTAGAGTAACGAAGAGGTAGCATGAATTTGCAAAAGATACTTGTGACTCTTCACCCAGTTTGCATTTTATTTCATTTTATATTTAGAGACAATACAGCAATTAAAAAAACCTTAAATTAAATTATTTCTACCTCTTACTGGTTACATGCCCTTAAACACGTAACTTCTCTATGATCTGAGTTTTCCATCTATACAAAAAAGATAATATTAGGACCAATGTCATAGGATCCTTGTAACAAATAAGTGTGATATTGAGTGGTACACAGTTTTCACCCAATAAATGTTTATTTTTGACATTATATTCATGAGATCCAACTGTCAACTAGGTGTTTGTACAATCTTAATACCATAATCACATCAATATGCCTCTGCCTTGTGTTCATTCTATAAGCAGTGCTCTTGCTTTGTTCCAAGTACATCTATACTCTCTTGAAAGAAACTTAGTCTCTTCCTTGAAAGAAAAAGAAAGTAAATCTTCCATAAGCAAAGACAAAGAAGCAAAATGTGTTTTAACCTCTAGTCAACTTTGGGATTGGATGTGGAAAACAATCAAAGAATTTCTTATATGAAGATCAAATTAGTTTGTCTTATTAGTGTCATCTCCTTCCTTGTAGCTTTAAAACAGAGATTCTCAGGTGGGGCTCTCATTGCCATGGAAGGTGGATGAAGACCATTGGGAACTAAGAGAAATTTCTTCAGAAAAAAATTAGGCATAGACTTCCATTTCCCATTCTCAAAGTGAGAAAGTAGCGATATACAGTCTCAAAATGGAATCCCCCAAATTACTTCCATAACAACAAAGTTTACAGATGTAATTAGCCTATCTATAATCACATTTATTACTTTGATAATCATAATACAGCTTTTGCCAAACTAGTGTGTCCTAATTCCGAGAGAGGGAACAGACAATGAATGAAGAGTTGATGATTACTAGTCCAACATATGAATGTGAACTAATCAGTGAGCTTTCTCAAACCCAACACAATTGATCCCCGAGTAGATTCGCCTTTTCCCCTTACTGCTTTGAGGAAAGAAAACAAACACACAAAAAACAATCCTGGAATTCTAGCCCCAAATTCTCCTCTTTTTCCTGAAAAGAAACAGGTTGGGAAATCCAGATATATCTGTATAAGAGATAAACATACAGGAAATGTGTCATTAGTTTGTAATTTTACAATTAGTCTGTGATATTTTCCATCTGAAGGACATACAAAAAATAGAGACAGGGCTAGAGATTTGTTCAAGTTGTTGTTTTTTGAACTATCATTTTAGGAATCTGAAAGGGGCGTTAGGGTTCATCTTAGAATGGTACCATCTGTTCTTATTATCATTTCTCTCCAACAAAGACTATATTGTTTCATATGAAAGTATAATCTTGTCAGAAAATGAGTTACAAAATGTTAATTTCTGATCTACCGCCCATCTTATGATGTAATTTTATCTCTAAGCCAAATACATAACTAACAAATGACTTTGCAAAATGAAAACATTGCCTTGTGAAATCACTATTTTATGGGCATTCAAAAGCAAGCAGATTACATTTGTTTTGTTGAACATTTTTTAAGGGTAATAATTCTACATACTTCTTTAGAAAGATGAAAAACACTCTTCTCTACCCTGTCATCTGAATATGTACTTACTTCTTCTTATTGCAATGTCTTCAAGTTCATAATCATAAAATAATTTTGTCTTGTTTTTAGAGACTGTAGCTCTGCCATCTGGCAAAGGCACTCACTCATCCACGTAGTCGTTCATTTATTCAGCAATATAATTTTAGCACCAGTGATCCTATATGCCAAATATCAGCTTGCTCATTGATGAGTAAAAACACACCTGGATCCGGTTCTCATGGATATTTGTATGCCTGGTCTATCCTTACCACTTAGTTCTCGACTCATCCATTCAGAGACACCCGATTAGTCATATACCAAAGGTCTGTCATTCACAATCTGTCATAACTAACACTGCCTTATTGACTTTACTAAGGAAATCACCATCAGAACATACCAAGTTCATTCACTTGTTTGCATGATTATTGTTCACATCCCTGAGCTACAATATAAGTTCCATGATAGCAAGTGGCCTGTCCTACCTCATTCATTGTTGGGTCCCCCCAGTAGCTTGAAGGAAAATTGACATACAGTGGAAGCAATAAATATTTAGTGAATAAAATTAAAAAGTTCTATTTGGGGAGATTGACACTTATCAAATAATGATACATATATGCAAAAGCTCAGCCGTGATAAGTGCTACACGAGAGTCGGTATGGTTTAGTGCACTGTAGGAAGGTTTGACCTATTCTAACCCAAGGAAAGTCATAACCAAGCTCAGGGCTTCATATAAGATAATTTCAGCTGGGTAAGGAGGGCAATATCCGTCTCTCCAAGCTCAGAGAATGTACGGACTCTATTACAGTGAATGAAAGAAAGGTGGCCAGTGTAGTTGGAATGAATAGTAAGAGATGAGATGTGGGTGTAACTAGCTCAGCGGCTTTTCACTTTTTGTGACCACGACCCTCAGTGAGAAACCCATTTTGTTTCAAGAACCAGTGCACATACACACACACTTATATATAGAAATAGAGAGATAATGGTAACAGTTATTATCCACCAAATAATTTTATGACGCACTGATGTGGCACATGCCCAGTTTGTAAAATACTGGACTAGACTAGCCATATGAAGGACTCTTTCCTTTATCCAAAGAGGCCAAGAAGAGACTTGCTGAGATATGCACTTTTTAAAAAAGATTACTTTGTTACAATGTGGAAACCAGATCAGGGTAGGGGATGGGTTTCTGGAGGCTGGTCAATACTCCATACAAGAGATAAGAGCAACAGAGACCAGGAGATAGTAGGGCAAAAGAACAAAAGAAAAATCTGATAAATATTTAGGAGCTACAGATCAGTTCAACTTGGCCATGCACTGTGCGTGAAGAGAGGGTATTAAGGACAGCTCATATATTTCTGTCCTGCACAGCTGCATGGGTGATGGTGCCATTCAGTGAAGTTGGAAACTCTGGGAGAAGACCAAATGTAGTAGGTAAAAAGACATGTTCTGTTTGACTTGTGTTGAATTTGAGGTGTCTTTGAGACATCTGAGGGATAGTTTTGAACAAACAGTTGGGTATACAGATCTGCAGTTTAAAGGCAAAGTCTGGACCAGAGATTTAGATTTTTTGGTTTATCTAAAACTGAAACCACAGATGTGGATGAAGTCACATGGAGAAGTGAGTCAGGAGAGGAAAGAGCAAAGGACAGAGCCTGATGAAATCCCAACATTTAAAATTTAAATGCTATGTGGAGGAAGATGAGTTTGTGAAGGAGAATGAGGGGTGGCCACACAGGTTTACAGGTAAAAAACACAAAAGAATGGTGTAGTAACAGGGAAGCCAAGGAAAGAACTGATATAGAGAATCTTCAATTCTGTATTTACTATACTGAGTACTTGCAACCTGGCTGCTTATTTTGTGTTATTCTCAATGTTGCTGCTATTGTCATCGCTGTGTTGCTTAGAAGACAGGGTTAGTATCCATGCATGTGGACCCCCTACTGCTTTCTCCTGTTGTCTCCTTCCTGATTTCACCGCCTTTCTCCAACCAGTTTAGATCATATTCTCCATCATTATAACTACTCGCTTGCCAATTTCTTTAATTTTCCTGCTTTTCTATCCTTCTGTGACACTTTCCTAGGGAACCTTCAATCCTGGATGAATTCGTCTGTTTCACTACTTTTCTCCTATATAATACTGAAGGAAACCAACAACCATCCAGATTATTGCCTTTATAAATTCATGGATATTTACTATCTACCGACCTTCATGCTAAATAGCAATTCTTCATATCGCCCCACTCAAGTGTGTTTCTAATTTTCTACAGAAACCATGTTAAACCTTCAACATTTTATGCTAATCCCACCACTTGCTCCCTCTTAATCTTAGGAAATGACTCTTCTTCTTGAATTACTGGGAAAACAACAACAAATCATGAAATCACTGAACAGAAAAGCGTTCAACATCCCATCACCAGTTGTGTAAGCAACACTTAGAGACTGCAGAAGACAAGAATTTAAAGTGTGGGCTTTGGATCCAGATGGCTGGTGACTTCTGGAAAATCACTTAAACTTATTGTGCCTCAGCTTCCTCATCTGTGAAATGGGCACAGTCCTAACATTGAACCTAAAAAGGGATTGAATTGTTAAATGATCTAGTGCAGTGTTTCTCAAACTTGGGCAAATATCAGACTCACCCAGAAGGCTTACTATAACACAAATGGAGCCATATTCCCAGAGTTTCTGATCAGTTGGCCTAGCATCAAGCCCCAGAATTTGCATTTCTAACAATTCCTAGGTGATGCAGCCCAGCATCAGGAACCATAGTTTTGGAACCACTGATCTAGTACGTGAGAAGCTCTTAAAAATGTGTCATATAATAAACACTCCAAACCTTTTTTCCCTTGACACATATCATTTCCTCCCTTTATCTTCAGGCAGCTGGAAAGATTCTGTCCTGCATACAGCTAATCCATAGCCTGTTCTCTGGGACCCATGTCTTTCTGCCTGCTCTGGCAACTTGATCAATTGATTATTCCCTATTAATCCTTTCTCTTCATCCTCTCCCTCTCTGCATATGTCTTCTTATTTGAATTAGTAAACTAGAATTTAAGCACGTTTCTTCTACATTAAAAAAAATTAATGTCAATACCTTGACTTCTTATCATAACCATCCTAACCCCCTTTCCCTCACTGAGCCTAACATTTCAAAAGGAGTTATTTTCACCAGTTTCTCAATTCTTACTAGTTCCCCAGCCAACCGCTTTGTGGATTTATTTCCGCACTGATCCTCTATATTGCTCAAAAACTATTAGCACTAACCTCACTGTAGCTAAAGGCAATCAGTGTGCATCTCCCCTGGAAGCCACTGGCATTGCTGACCACGCCCTCCTTCCTGAAACTGCCTCTTCTCTTTTCACCTTAAATCCACACTCCTGCTCCAGGATCTTTTCCTGTGGTTCAACCACCAGGTCTTCATCTCTTTTACAAATTTCTCTTTTCTGTGCTTCTTTTTAAAATCCTGGTTTATTTTGTTCTGTTTATTTGTTTCCTTGTTTGCATTAAATCTTATTCAGGAACTTTTTCTCTTCTGACTCTTCACTCTCCCTGAGCAAACTCTGTTGAGGAAATAATAATGATCCGAAGGCAGAATTCATTATATAAAATAAAGAAAATGTATCAGAGATACTGAGTAGAAATAAAATATCTGAACTTGGTACATTCGAAGGCATACATATGTCATTAAGATCTCAAGAAACAAACAAATGGGGAAATACAGAATGATTATTTTGACC